CCTGGTATTCTTTTTCTTTGTAGGGCACAAGCGATTCGTTCGTCAGTGTCCCCTCGAGGCCTGAGCAGGAGCCAGTGACGGACAGTTTCCAGGTAGAATGTGCTGCTGTCTACTGAGCAAAGTAGCTTCCCCAAGACCCCCCTCCAGGATAGAGTCCCCATTCTCTACTGTTAGGATGTGGCAAGGACACCCGAACACCCAATGGCTTTGTGCTTTTACCCACCTTGCCTGGATGGAAGAACATGAATTTCTCATCTCAGACTCCTTCCTCCCCTCTGTGAGGCTGGCTAATTCAAACACAGTTCTGGAAGGACTCTGTTCCCTGGGCCAAAGGGCGGAGGTCATGAGCTCTCTGATACTCACCTTCTGCCTGGGTGTTACTAGCTGTTCTGCTGATAGGGGAAGCAGGCCACTCTGGCCAAGGCCACCCCAGCTTGGCCTTTCAACTCTGCATCCCTGGGGAAGTAAATCCCACAGTGTGTTTCTTACCAAAAAGGAAGAGGTGCCTGCTGGGGTCATCACCTCTTTGTTGACTTACCCATCACTTGGTTACCACTTTCTGGGGCTGAGGTTCATTTCTCATCCTTATTAGAGACAGGTTTATCAGTTGTGTCTGAATAGTCCTTGTTTTCCACCAGGGTTCACCTGTCCTCTCCTTATCTGAGCTTTCCAAGGCTCCTCTCCACAATGGGCTCTCTACCCCGCTGCCCTCATCAGAGAGCTCCAGCACCCGGCTCTCTCCACCTAATGTCTCTGCTCTGCTGGACATCTCCCTTCCGGGCCCTCCCGAGGATGTGCTCTCACAGGGAGAGCCTGCCACACAGATCAGTGACTCCATCATCGAGATCGCCATCAGCTCCGGACAGTATGGTAAGAAGCAGGCTGTCCCTGCACACCCTTCCTGGAATTAGTTCCCCTTCAGGAGCGGGGGTCTGGTCCGGACTTACCCTTGATCTCTCACCTCAGTATTTGCCAACCATGCTGAGTATGTACCTGTCCGGATATCACTTTGCCTATCGAGCAGAGACAGCCAAGGCAGGATAGGTGGATGAGGCATGGACAGGACCTGCATCTGTTTATGGTCTAGTGGGGCAGCTCCTGGCCTTGAGACTGAGAGAGCAGGCCCATGAGGCCTCTCCAGCCCAAAGATCAGATGGGGCATTGTCCTAGTTGGTTCTGAGTCTGGGTGGATGCCTGTGGGTTTTGCAGGTTCCAGGAGGGGGTTGGAACAATGTCCTGATAAGTGTTGGTGTGGTTGCGCTCACTGGTATGAGTCGGGCCATGAATTCAGACAGCTGAGTTCACAGCCTGGTAGCACCTGGCCATAGGCAGGTCACTGGCCCATTTGAGCCTTACTTTCCTCAGCAGTGAACTAGGAATAGTATGTCTCTCACAGGGCTGTTGTAAACACCTGCAAGATTATTTAGGTGAAGCTGTCAGCATAGGGCCTGGCTCCATCAGTGACAGCTGCAGTCTTTGTCCTTCCCTGAGATGGATATGTGTCCCTACTGCAGAGGGATCCCCTCCTCAGATCAGTGTTGTTCATCTTCCGTAGGGGTCCCAGCAGGGTCCTGGGTCTCAAGAGTTCAGCAGTACACAGCCATGCTGTCTTGCTGCCTTAGTGGCAATTTGGGGATGTGGGGTGCTGTTCCCCCATGTGGTGTCTCTGACCCGGGGTTTTGGTTGACAGGTGAAGGAGTTCCTCTTTCTCCAGCAAAACTGAATGGCAGTGACAGTTCCAAGAGTCTTCCTTCCCCATCCAGCAGCCCCCAGCCAGACTGGATTGCTTCTCCCACCCATGACCCCCAGTGGTGCCCCAGCGACCCCACAGACTCGTCACTCAGCAGCTTATTTGGTGAGTGGGTGTGGAGGGTGAGCAGGGCTCCACATGGTGAACTTGATGGGGAGACTGGATTCTGGAGAGCTTTTCACAGAATCTGGATTCTCTGTGCTATCTGGCAGAACTCTCACTAGGGTTGTTTGCTTGTTTTCCAGGGTTTATTTTTTATGTACCACTTAACACATGGGGAACGTCCAGATTTCCCGTGTGCAGGTCACTGAGCTTTGGCACACATGACATCCTGTAACCCACAGCCCAGCCAAGATGTAGTCCACATTCATCTTCCCACACAGTCCCCTGTGCCCTTCTCTAGTCCAGCCAAGTGTCCTGGCCCCTCCTCCACTAGGGTTTTCTGCTCTTGCTGCTGACAGCGGGGTGGAAGAAATTGGCTCTTCATGCCCTTAGAGTCCCTCTTTCTGTTCTCAGTAACATTTTCTGATGTGGACAGTTCCAGCTGTCTTATGGCATGTTCATCCTCACTGGGCACCAGGTGTTCGTGCGGTGGGAAGGGGACGTTAGGGAAACACACACCCACCTCAGTGTCCCACATAGGAGGGACTCCTGGGGCACGTCTGAGATTTGTGTACTTTACATTTTTAGAGAGCAGCCAGGGTGTACACATTACCATCGGGACTGTAGCTGCAGAGAGGGGTGTACTATATATATACACATGTTGACCAAGGTCAGCACCTTGTGTGGGCGCCATACTGATGGCTCAGAACATGGGCTCTGGTCTGGGTGATGCAGGAAGCCAGCGCTCAATGACTGTTTCCTGCTATAAGAGTCCCACAGAGCAGAGCAGACCTCTGCAGAGTCAAATATAAGTTGTGAAAAATTGGAAATTACTTTACATGGAGATGGAGGTGGTGTCTGGAAAGTGGAGCACTGAAGCCCCTTGGAAAAATGAGGCTGACTTACACATGCTGCTGGGGACCCTCTAAGGCTCCCGCAGTGAGAAAAGCCAGGGCAGCTCTGTTGCTCCTGGAGCACTGTGCACGAGCATGTGGGTGAGTGCTGCATGGGCTTTGAAAGGCACCTCCAGCCCTCAGGACCCTTCCCTTGGCCTGGTGCCAACAGAGAAATGCCACTGTACTGCTGTGCCCTGGTGCCAAGTGTCAGGGCTTGTTCCTTCTTTTTTTGGTAGCAAGCTTCATCTCCTCAGAGAAGGGCCGGAAGATGCTTCCAACTCCGGTGGGGACCCACAGTGGCACCTCCCTGCTGGGCCCCAGCCTGCTGGATGGAAACTCAAGAGACTCATTTGTGTCCAGGTCCCTGGCTGATGTAGCAGAGGTAAGTGTATAACCTTATGCTCGAACTTGACTAGCCTGTTCTGGAGGCAACCGGGTCCCACCTGTTTGGTTATTAAGAACTGCTCATCAAAACATCAACACCAGGAGGCAGCACATACAGATCCAGGTCTGGCTTCTCTTGAGAAGCTCTGGCGGCGAACAACAGACTACTAGCTGAGCCCTGAAGATCAGGACCTGGGAAGCCCTGGTGTTGGGGTTGACCTCCGGGGTTCTGCAGACAGCTAGAGCAGAGTTTGGATCTCATTGTGTCCTCCACTAGTCCTGTGACCTTGGGCAGGTAATAATACTGCCTCGGTTTCCTTATCTGTGCAGTCTTGGTGCCATTGGTGGAGGGGTAAGAGGGAGTTGTAGGTGGCCCTGTCATCACTGCTGTCACCTAATAAGAGGGGGCTTTAGAGGAGCAGCTCTCTTTGTCATCACTTGTTGCCATCACCCCCTGAGCTGGGGATGGGGTTCTGCAGGAAGGCACAGATGCCCTTGCAGTCTCCTCCCATGGTTGGGGTGATGACAACAGGAATCACATTATGGCAGACCCTGGATGTGCAGGCAAGACTCAGTTTGTGACTCTCATCTTTAGACTGGAATGTGGCGTCCCTTTCTTAGGCCAGCTTCGGCTGCTGTAGCCATCCAGGCTCCATTTCATGTGATGTGAGTGGTGTATGGGTAAGAAAACTTCAAAAAGAGTGCTCGTTGAAGGAGTAGAGACAGGTATATTTAACTATAAGGCAAGTTACGAAGTAACGAGTACTGGAAGAAATATTTAGACAGGATAAGCTTAAAAGAGAGATTTCACATTTAGAATGCCACTTGGATGGGCTTGGTCCTGTTGTTAATGTGCTGGAACAACATCTCTCCAATCCTGGCTCCTTGGGATGCTGAGATGTTAGTGGATGCCCCTCTAGAGTTTTACAGTCAGATTCTAGAGGGAAACCCTGGATCAGACAAGGCTCACACAGTGGTGTCCCATGGCCTCCTCAGCTCTCAGTATCCTGACATGAGTCTTAAGGCCTGAGGATCTTACAGGAACACTTTGGAGGATACTGAGCTGAGCCCTGACATAACTAGAAATTTCACCTAAATACAGACTAGACAGAGCAATATAGTAAATCCTTTCCCCACAGTGAGCATTTCTCAGACCTGTGTGGCCACAGAACCTTTATTCAGAGAACACCTTATGACTCTGATGCCGTGCAAGAAGCTAGTCTCTTTCCCCTCCCATGTATGTGTGGATGTTACGTATATGCACCTAGCTCTTGTGGAGGTGAGCACTGCCCAAACATCCCGAGACGACATGCTGGGATCGCAATATTCAAAGGTGGTCCACAGACCTGCTGCAGAATGCATTGGATTTGTTAGAGAGGCAACTCTTGGGCTCACCCCAGGCCCAGCGAACCAGAACCTGCATTTCTAATAAGATCTATTCATGGCACATTGCACAGGAAGGTGAGCAGCATAAAACAAAGACAGATGCTGTTCGTGAACTACTAAGTCTTAGATACTTAGAAACTTAGATATATATTTATCTGCAGAAATAGAAAGTGTTTATCAAAAAGATCTGACCAAGAACTCTCCACACTTAAAAAACATGAGTGTGTTTTAAAGATAGTCCTTATTGTCTAGAATTGCAGTCTGAAACGTGTGGCTGAAATGATCTGGTGGGTGGGATTTGAACAAAAGTGATGGGAACAAGGAGTGGGTGGGAGAGGCGAGCCTAGATTGACCACAAGCTGGTGACAGGTATGTAGGGGGAAGACAGTCACTATTTGCTCTACATTTTAAAAACAAGTTTGTTTCAAATTTCTCATAATAGAAGCTTTAAAATTCAGTTCAGGCAATAGCTCTTAGAATTTTCCAAGGCTTCTCATTTGTTTATTATATCATGCATGAACAAAACACAGGGTCCATTCTTATGCGGCTTCCATTCCAGGAAAGGAGGCAGACAGTAAACCCTGAAGACTATATGTTCCATGTTATTTGTCCAGAGTAAAATCCCAGGACCTGAGGCCCTGCTGTACACACTCGACTCTCTCTTTCCTCGTCTTCTACTCTTTGCCTTACTCGCTGTCATGTTCACTAACTTTCTTGTTTCTGGAAGAGCCGAAGCCTGTTCTCACCCCAGGGCCTTTGCACTTGTTATTTTCTTCTGATAAGAATGTGCTCCCCACCGCCATGGCAAACTCTGTCTTTTCCATGTGCATTTCCTTCAGACCACCCCACAGTTTCAAATTCCACTCTGTGTCATTTGCTTGTTTGACTGTCTTTCCCCCAAGTATCATGTGGAGGGAACCATCACTCTGATCCTGGCAACCAGATGTACCAGGTTCATAGTAGGCTCTCCTGCACACTTGTCAAAAGAGTGAGAGTTCAAAACGACGGGAGATTCTCCCCAGGGCACTGTGCCACTGTTTCACAGCCAGTCAGTGGGAGATTCTGATCTTCACTGTAGAGCGACCCCAGGTTCATTCACCTTCCACTGAAGTCCCAGTGGTGGCCAGTCACCTCCAGTCTGGAAGGCAGGCTGGCCACCAACTGATGTGGTCTTGCCTTATGTCCTCTGCCCACAGGTCGTGGATTCCCAGCTGGTTTGCATGATGAATGAAAACAGCGTTGATTACATATCTCGGTTCAACGATTTGGCCCAGGAGCTGTCCATCACGGAGCCCAGCCGCCGAGAGGTTCTGTTTGATGGCAGTGGTGGTGGTCCCCCTGTCAGTGACCTCTCCCAGTGACTGCATCTCGTGGTGGGGGCATCCTGGCGGCTGTAGAGGAGGGCTTACAGGGTTGTGGTTCTCAACCTGTGGTAGGTATAGCCCTCTTCAGACTAAAGAAAACATAAATGAAGCCCAGGACACCCAGGAGGTGGTTTCGATAGAGACACCTCTGCACCCCAGAATGTACAACATGCTGGAAGCTATGTCGCAGCAGGCAGAGGGCAGTGGTAGCCTGGGAGATGAAGACGAGTTCTGGAAGGTCCAACATCAGACATCACTGTGGCCTTAGAGCAGTTCTTCACCATTTGTGGGGTCTCATGTTAGGGTCTGCGTAGTGACCGTATTTCCACCCATACTTCTAACTTGGTTGTTGTGTTGGACAGTCCAGTGGGTTTTCTTTTCCAAGAGAAGGGAGTGGGTGTGCCCTGGCATAGCCATCACATCCTGAGGAGTTGTAATTTCTCCGCTCCCTGCAGGAAGGCTCCAGGCCATGGCTGCATTCTTTCTGCCAAACCTGTGCCACACTTTGGTTGCTTCTCTGCAGAATAATAAAGGCAGGTCAGGGTTGGGGAGCGTAGCTGGGCCTGGCCTGGGCTCTGCCTGGTGGTATCTGGACTCTGAGACAGCAGACACTTCAGGGGACACTGATCACAGAGCAGCAGAAGAGTCCCAGGGGCAGTGTAACTGGTGCCATCACCCTAGAAATTCTGATCCTTTCCTACTCCTTCCCCATGTAGATATATGTTGTGACCGACTGAACAGGAAGGGAAAAGAATCATGTCTTATGCAGGTTGTGTGAACTTTTAGAAAAAATCCTGCTAAACTGGTTGGAGAATGTTTTTCTTGTGTTTTAAGAATTAGGAGACATTGAAGAGGAAGAACAGTTTAGTTGGTTTCTTTCCTGCCTCCATCTGCAAGTTTCTTCTAGATGATCTACAATGTTACTTCTCTTTGGGGATGATCCCTAAGCACTTCTTTGACTACAGTTAAGACTTTCCTGATGAGCCTTTGAACTTCTGATGTGTTAACTGTTTAGCATCTGAAACAAATGGATTTTGCAGGGATGGTTCACTTCTTCAGTCTCCTCTTCCTTTCATTAGCCTCAGAGCAGAGCAAGACACTATGTGTATGCCTCACGTCTATTATCGCTCTCCTTTTCAGGGAATGCAGGCAAGGGTCACATGTCTAACCTGTGAGCGCTAACCTGTGGTGTGCTTCGTGAGCCTCCTTGGGTGACCAGAAGTCACCACTGCAGGTGATCCAGCAGCGGTCTTTCCCCAGAACAGAGCTAATAAGGCTCCTATGCCTGCTTAGCCTTGGGAGACTTAGCATGTAATTTACTGTCCAGCCACATTCTGTGTGGCCAGGAGCCAATGCTCTGGTGTTGGGCCAGTAATACCAGCGCCACCATCGCACCTGCTGCTTCACCTTCCACAGTAGACAGGATGACTCGCCTGAAATGACCGCTGTTCTGTTGCTCACCTTTCCTGTTTCCCCACTAACAGTGGAGTGGCAGCCCTGGCCCGTCCTGGCCCTTTACATGGGCTCCTCCCCCTGTCCACAGTGAGAGATGAGCATGTGTAAAAAGGGGAGAAAAGGTTTTTTTCGTATGCAAGAAGAGTGGATGCTCTTGATCCCATTATCTCACCAGCCGTTTGCAGCCACTTTAGGCTTCAGACAGGGTCATTCATTCTGAGCTGTGGAGGAAACAGCAGACAGCTGGCTTCCAGGGAATAGCTCCCTTCCTTTGTCTCAAGTGTTTCTCAGAGCTCTTGCCTCTAAGGTGGCTTCCTTCTTTCAGATCTGGTTCTAGGCACAGACATCACTAACAGAGGCCTCTGGACTCTTAAGAAAAGTCCAAAAGCTTTGGAAATATGAAAAAGACATGGTGCCACTTACTAAGAGAGATAGATAGCATTGTTTGAACCAGAGTATCTTTAAACTAGTTTATATTTTGTGATCAGTATGTCAGCTTCCTGAAATTAGCACCTTATTGGGTTGAAGATCAGGAGATCTTGCCCTCTGTCTCTGGGACTTTGTTAGGTCTGCAGTAGGTTTTACCAGGTCAAGTGTAGGCCATGACTAGCTTCCTCATACCCCCCACTGTCTGAGACCAGAGATGCCACATAATATGGCACCGATGCTGGATGTAATGTCCAGTGGCAGTGTGTACTGTGCCACAGATGGTAGGGCTCTTGAGCTGCTTGCTTGTCCATCAGGGGACACCCTGAGGCAGTCCAGTGGGTAAGTTGGCACCTTTGCCTAGTGACATCTAAAAGGAGGAAAACTCAGGAGATTCTAATCAAGGCACCTCCTGCCTGGGTTTCTGGCATAGACTCTATTTGGGAGCAGGTAACTGTGGCTAGTGTCCTCCACTAGGGAAGTGGGCTAGGGAGGAGAGTGGATTGACTCTTCTCACCTATAATGAAGCTCACACAATTCCAGAGAATTCTGCTGCTTCTGTAGCAACGAGACGCCTAATGTGTTTGCCATATTAAGGAAAATGGTGTCATTTGTAGGACTAAAATTATGGATGCATTTTTTTTTTTACCAGCCTAAATGAATATGTGTATAAAAATAAGCAATGTTAAAGGCTGGAATTTTCAAAAGACCCAAGCAGAGAAGCCTCCCACTTTGTGCATCTTCTTCTGCCTTCCCAGCCAAAGTTGTGATAGTCTCAGTATATACCTGTGGCTTCCTTTGTGCATTTGAGCATGTTATAATTAAGAACAGATCAATTTCTCAGAAACATCTTTCTCTGGTTGCTCTAATACTGTCTGAGATCTTTCTGCTGATTCATCTTTTGTAAAGATTGAAACTGAGTATCTGGTCTCAGGGGGTTGGGTGGTTTGGCCTTGATTCTTATTGTGACCATCCAGTGGCGAGCATTCCACTCTTTAGAAGATGCAGAGGCAGGTTGAAGTTCATGGTTCCACATGAGGTTTGTGATGACATTTTTTTCATCTCTGTATCTTCTAGGTATAGAGCACTTGGCTCAGGGAGTGGGGATAATTGGAAATATTTGATCGGTTTATCTACTTGCTTTCCCACATTCCAGGTTCTCAACCTCAGAATCCCATTCTTTATCATTCTGTATCATGGCTTCACTACTGGTGGGTGTCCTTTTCAGTGTAACGGTATCTTTACCTAGATCACACCATCAAATCTAGACTTGTGCAGAGAATAGTAATGGATTAAAAGACACTGGACACAAGTGGAGAAGAACGGCTTTTTTTTTTTTTTTTTTTAAAGACATTGAGATCTATCAGATGCATTTGTGAGGACATAGGGCACTTTGTCTTAAGAGGAAAAAAAGGAAAGAAACCACAGCAAACCTTTCCCAACTATCAAAGCTCTCCTAATCCCATAGTAATTTGTAAGTCTTGTTAAGTAAATTCAATCTTGGAAGCACTACAGCAACCTGTACCCTTTGTTCTGTAACAGGATAACTGGCTCCAGAGCTTCTGGTCTAGGCAGCAGAACTTATTGCTGTTTCTTTTAATAATTGTTAAGCCATATCATCTAAGGTTTTCGGCTTGTTTGAGATGTGAATTTGTTTTATAGATTATAAATATACATATACAGTGTATGTATAAAGCAGAATGCCTGTCCTTCCTGATTATTTTTTGTACCATATTGTAAATTACATTATTTATTCTTTACCAATTTTGGGAATAAAAGGTGTTTTGGTTATTTAATATAATAAAAGCTGTTAAACTTCTTATGTTTAAATTTCCAGTTTAACTTGTAAATGTTTTTATTATTGTCCATAAATACATACTAATACTTGATCTAATAATTATTGTTTCTGCCTTTTTTTTAAAGTGTGCACTTAAACAGCTCAAGTGGCTCTCATTTGGTGAGATCTCAGAATAGATGGGCTGTCCGCATCGTAATTTAGCGACAAAACACTGCCGACTGTTTTATTTTTGGGGTTTTTTTTTTGAGTCAGAAATAGGGCAATTGGCACACTTTATCCCTTGCTCCCTATTTATGAGTATGTCTTTCTGAGGTGCCCTACTACCCCACCCCCCACCCCGGGACTGGGCAGGACAGAGGAACTGTTGAATCTCTGAACAGATAATTCGAATTAGCGTCCTTTTGCTAACTACCATACTTACCGTTGACTGGTTTGCAAAATCCGCACGTCTGAGGGACTCACATTCCTTCAAAATAAGCAGCGGGTTAGTGGCCCTCAGGTAGCGGTTGCCACCTCAGGAATGTCTAGACTTTGCCCTGCTCCTCCCTTTCCCTGCTCCGCTTGTTCGGGTTTCCAGCACCCGCGCCCCGACCCGTGCCTCCAGGCTGTAGTCGAGTTACTCCAGCTCGGGCCCAGGAAACGATTCCGCAGCGGGAGGAGGACCTGTGGCCGGGGCAGGTCGCGGAGGTCGTGCACCCCGCCCAACTCGGGACTGCCCGCCCACTGCCGGCCTGCTGCCCACTGCCGGCATTGGACGCCTTCAGTGGCACTTGCTCCCACCAATTAGCTGCGAGCTCAGCGTGGGCCTCTCCAAAACTGAGTCTTGGGGGCGGGGGCAGGGTCTGGCGCCGCGATAGGCTGCGGGGCTGTGACTGGCGTCGGCGCCATCCAATAGGCACGGGTGGGCGGGCCTCGGGTTGCGCGGGGCCGGGCGGGAACGGTGGCGCGGCCGGCAAGGAGCCGCTGAGCAGCGGGCGACATGTTCCAGGCCCCGGAGAGCGAGGGCAGCCGGACAGGCTCCAGGTGCAGTGCGGGCGCGGGAACGGGCAGGGCGCAGCCGGCGGGGAGGCTGGCGGGTGACTTCACAGAGCCGCGGCCTCCGCGTGGGAGAGATGGGTGTACATACGGGATGTGCCCGCCAGGATCTAGGCTGAGGGCCCGAGGTGCGCCTCCCTGCGTTCCTCGACCGTAGCGCGCCCGAGAGACTCCGGCCGAATGGTCTGCTGCTTCGGGGTTGGGCAGTGCCGGGAGCTGGAGTAAGGCAGGTGTGTGCAGCGCCGCAGGGGCTGCGAGTTGCCTTCCTGGAGCCTGTGCTGGCGCCTGGGACGCTCGTGGAAGGGCCTCGGGGGAAGGTCACCATCCTGGAGCCTTTCGCCTCATCCCACAGCCCTGGAACCAGGCTGTGCCCTCCCCTAATCACGAAACCTCGGAGCCAGCAGAGCCCTCTCCTAATCCCGCAGTTTGGGGAGGTAGGTGCTGCCCTCCCTTCATTCTGCAGCCAGGGAGCCAGGCGTAGCCCTCCCCTAATTACGCAGCGGGAGAGGTAGGTGGTGCCCTCCCCCCTAATCCCGAAACCCGGATGGTAGTCCGTGCCCTGCCTGCTTTGCTGATGGTGAACCAGGCCCAACTGCAAGTGATTGAAGCAGATATCCATTGCAGGTCTCTGACTGGGCTTCAACACTCAGGAACACACTGCAGCATATTTTCTTTCCTTTTAACTCCAAAGTGCTCTGTGTGTATTGAAAATCAGACAGATTAGGTTGCCAGAGCTGGTGAAGTCTGTCATGCCACTGGAGGAGCCAGCGTGCACTGTCGAGTTTTGGACCTTCAGTTGCTTCTGTGGCTCAGCTTCAGAGTAGAAGAGAAGGTATTTGTTATGACTGTTGAGATAAACACTATATAGGCTAAATACTGAATAAAAGAATTGCTTCAGCTTGCTGAAAACCCTGTAAATTTGAGGGAGTTAGGTCATTATTCATTAACACACCTAATGAAATAATTAGTCATTAATCCATGGAACAACGACTACTAATTACTTGAGTCTTGATCTAAAGAGGGCCAGAAGTTTTCCCTGGAGTGCTCAGGATGAATCAAGTTTCTAGTGCTTGGTAACTGCTGTTCTGTACCAACCACGCCAGCTGGGCAAGGGCCTCTTCCTAGTACTTTCTCAGTTGTGTCCAGTAAGTACATTCCCTCTTTGTGCTGCCTGGCACTGGATGCCCAGGAAATGTTGGCTGAATTAACAAATAAATGCTATGAGTAACACTGATGTTATGCTGACTTCGAGCTACCGATGCTAGCTACAGTTCTAAGGTAGTGCACACTTCTTTGGGATATTGATTTTGGAGGGAATATTATGAAAAGGAGAAAAATCTTCTTTTCAGAACATTGAAGAAGGAAAAGCAGTCTTCTTAATTGGATAATTAAATGTAATTGGAAGCTTCTGCTTGGGATCCGTTGGAGGCTTTGCGTTTGACTGCCATCTTAAAGGACTTAATTGGTAAACAGGTCTTGTAGGGTTCACACTTATTTGGCTTTGTAGGGAGGGAAGCAAGTGGTGGCTGTACAATCACCCAGCCACGTTTTCCTTTCTTAAACCTACATCTTTTGTTTTCTCGATGAGGGATTATTTTATATTAAAGGGATTTTGAAATATAAAAGCATTTTTCTTTAGCTATCCTTAACCTAAGGTCTTTCCTTTAAGCTGTAAGGTGCACCGCTTCTCTCCAAACCTGACCAGTCCCCAAAAGCTTTTTTGACACAGGGACAAGCTCTTGGAGGAAGGATCAGGAGCTGAAGAGACCCCCTCTAGGTCTTGTTTTCTCTGCCCGTGCCCATACTGCCGCTGCGTATCTTTTCTTCTTGTCACATCACATGCCCTTTAGTTTTTCTTGTATATTTTGAACATGTTTGTTGAAATATATTGAAGGGATACTACAAAAGTAAAAAATAATTAGGAAGCAGCCTCATATGTAGTTTCAGCCCCAAAATGTCTGAGCTCACTAGTATTCCCACTCCTCCATAACTAGTGTCATAGTGATAACTGATAGTGAGCCTCAGTGAAGCCACACTGAACCATTGTTGTGGGTTCTGTTTTTATTGAAATGTCATTTAACTCTTGGTCCTATTTATATGAGACCCTGTTGGGGCAGTCTGTGCAATTTACATGACTGCCACGTGACTGTGAACCCCTCCTGCTACCCCATTGCCTTTGTGATGGAGATGGTTATTGTCCCTTCCCAGGGAGCTTGGCCATTCTGCACTGTAATCACTCTGCTTCAGCATTCTAGGGCACTAGTTCCCTTTTCTTCTCTTGTTTTCAAAGTAAAATAAAAGATAATTCAGAAAAGTACACAGAATAATAAACACTGTACTTCTACCACCCCAAGTTAACATTTTGTCATCTCAAATATCTGTCACCTACTGCCTGTGCCCTGAAGGTACTTTTTTCTCACAGAAACTGCAGACTCAGTTTGGGCCTTACTTCTTCCAAGGATGTCTTTGGAGTTCCAGTAACACTCAGTGCTTCTGTCAACATAACTCATGGAACCCCGAAACCACCTATGCACAGCTGTAGCTTTCCCGGTAAACCTGAAGCTTCTCTAGGCCTAGGACTTGCTCTCATCCATCTTTCTATCCACAGAGACTGGTGCAGGCAGACTTGCCAGCTATAGGTGCTCGGAGAATGTGTGAATTGAACTGAATGAAGCAAGGGCGAGAGGCTGAGGAGACTTGGGATCCAGGAATGTAGAATATGAGAATCAGGAAGGACTCTTGAGAGCTTTGAATCAAGATGAGTCTTCCGAATCTGATCTGACAATTTGCGAGACCTTGAGGGTTTGAAAGAAGAGCCATGTTTCAAATAAGTCAGTAAAACAGGAATTTTAACTTGTGCCAGCATGACATGCCTTGATGTTAAGTTCTGAAATTCAGTCTTGAAGATTGCAGATCTCTATCTCTTCTTTTCAAAGAAATAGCTGTGGAGACCCAAGCATATTGGACCTCCTGTAGCTAGCCAAGAACAATATGGAGAATGTCATTATGACTGGGGCTGTCTGACTTATAAATGAGTACAGGAGTCAGATGGCCTTACCATGTCCACTGACAAAGTGTATGTCTTATCAAGCCTTTCCTGATTTAAGTTTGGTTATTGATTTTTAAAAATTTTCCTCAAACCGAAGTAATTTTTTTCTTCATCAAATCCTTAAGGAAATGCTAACTGCTGAACAGGAGGCCACCTTCCCTGTCCTCCCAAGCAAACAGGGACTCCAGCACCCCTGTGCAGAACTGCCAGTTGTGCACTTCCGTGGTTTTGAGTAGCCGGCCTGCAAGTCTCTGTCCAGGCCAGGCTGGCATGTTGTCTGCCCTCTGTAAAGTGCTTTCTGCAGTCCTGCTTTACAGCCATGGAATCTGAGAACTCTGTTCACTTGAAATTATAATGAATGATCACCTCCTGTTCTAGCTCTTTTGAGGAAACATTTTAAATATGTTACTCCTTTTGCAAACTAAACCACAGGCAGCATTTGTATACCTTTCCATACCTTTCCGGTGAGGCCTGACCTCTAATCGTAGCTTTCATGTGTCAAGCTCTGCACTTTTGTGTATTTATAAATGTCTACAGTCACAGATAGTCCTGTTGCTTAGGAATAATGAAAGGCTGGACCACTCACCAGTTTAAAACTCAATTTCAGGAGGCTCCTCTCTCCTTTAAGATGCATTTTTAAAATCTTTCTAGGTGTTCTGAAAAGATGCTACCGCCTTGCCTAAGTAGACCAAACTCAAGGGATATTAGAGCAGAGCTTTGTGAAAATTTTATTAATTTTTTGGCTATGTTAATAAAAAGTGCCTCAAGGTCCTGATCTTCCTCTTCTGAAATGTCTATTTTAAAACCTTTAAGTTGTGCATGACAGTTTCCCAAAGATGGAGACTTCAGGTATGCTGCTGTTGGTGACTGAGCAGTGGAAATGCCACTCTTCTTTGGGGGTGTTTAATTAAAATCAAACCTCGTAGAAGGCCAGTGTGTTTTAGAAATACACCCAGTGCATATACGTTGATCAGAAATGAACAGTGGTGCTAGTATGCGTGTTCTCTGATCTTTGATGTCCCACATTTCACTGGTTGTACCAGACTTAAGGACCATAGGTAATGATTGTGGTTTAGATTCCCAGGACTCACCTGGATTAATGTTAATAGCACTCCCCATGGTCTAAGCTGACACTTTCCAATATAAAGATGAGCCACATAAGGAATTATAAGTTTTCTAGTAGATACATTTTAAAAAATTAAAAATCAGGAAAATTAGTTTTAATAGATATAATTCAATCTAATATGTATAAAATATTATTTCAACATGTGATCAATATAAAAAAAAAAGATTAAAGAGATATTTTGTCTTCATCTTCGAAATCTGTTGTATAGTCTATACTTAATAGCACATCTGAGTCCTTGCTGCCATATCCAAGTGCTCACTGGCCCCAGTGGCCAGTGGCTGCCCTTTTGAAGACCCAGCTGTGTGGGTCAGGCTTGATCTTTGGATAAATGGTGTGCTGTCCTTGTTTTTTTCTGAAGGCCTTTAATAAAGGCATATGGGCATAATCTGAGCTCTAGATCTGGACTGCCTGGGCTTGGATCTGGCTCTGTTGCTCCCTGCGTGACCTATCTCGTGATTTCTCTTTATCTCAGAGTCATTGTTTGTAAAAATATGCCTGCCTTAGAGGGTTATTGTGTAAGGTCTTTGGAAAAGTAGCTGGCATATCGTAAGCACTTAGCAAATGTAAGCTTTGCTAAATACCACTGAATGTGTTTATAGCATTAAACTCTTAATAATAAACTCTACTGAATGTGGCTCAACTTGCCTGTTTTAAGGAAACTTATAAGAGGTCCCAGGAATAATTTCAAAATAAACACATTTCCAGAGGGTTTTTGGCATAACCAAGACATACAAAGACAACTTTTAAGGGAACCTGAAGGTCAGTAAAGGAAGTTTGCCATATATGGCTATCTGTAAACTTGTCATGCCCGTATGAAATAATTGCAGTGTGTAATTTTTTCATAGATGTTAAGAAAGTACACGTGCCTTGTCTGGTTACAGACAGTAAGGTCCCAGGTCAGCCATTTGTCACTCATGTTTGCTCTGTGCTTGTAGGGCCATGAAGCCCCCAGGAGGAGCATCCAGTGATCTTTTCGGAAGTCCAGAAGAAGTTGTCCCTTCAAACAGGCCCAACAGGATGGCATCGAATATTTTCGGACCAACTGAAGAACCTCAGAACATGCCTAAGAGGACCAACCCTCCAGGTGCGGGCCTCTGTGACTCATTCATCCTTTGGCGTCTACCTGTTCTTTTTTTATGATGCTCTTTTGATAAAATTTTCTTTTTCTTTATATTGATCCTTTCATATATTTTCTGGTACAGGTTGTCCCTTGCCATCAGAGTTCCAGAATGTGAGGAAGGTCTTTTCCTGACTTTTACTTTGTGTCCTGGTGGCTTAATCATTTTTGAATTCTTCCTCATCTGTCAACAGGCATTGGCTGGGTACGGGCACTGAGGATTCAAAGGCAGATGTGGGATTCTGGCTCCCTCCAAGGAGGTTCTCCCAGTTGTCCTATGGACTTCTTGAGATTTCTGAAATTGTGTGCAGATTGTGCATTTAAACATTTTTCTTAGGAAGGGCATTTTTAATCAGATTGTTGGTGAGGCCAAAACTAAAAAAAGGATGACACAGATGTTTGTGGTCTAATACACATCTGTTTAGTTCTCATCCCACTTTCTAGTGGTTATAGTGGGAGAGCATCTTGGAACAATGTTTCTCTCAGCTGATAGACTATCTGATTGAGTGGCCATCCAGTGCTAGTGACCATATAAAAGTCAGCATTTCAGACAGATAATAAAATCAAGAAAATCAGCTAGAACTGCTTGCTACTCTACTTCAGTTCTAGGTGCACATACTTCTCAACCAAACCTAGAGGAACAAGAGCAGTAGATTCAAAAGCTAGTGTTTTGTTTGGTTTGTCGTTGGGATGTGGTAGAGGATTAATGTTTTGGATATAGTTGTGAGTAAAAAAGCAAGTGGTTTTACCAAGCAAGTAACATTCTCACCATATCTAGTTTATGGGTTTAGGGCCAGGAGTGGTCAGCCCTGCACATCCTTTGTACCAACGATAGCAGAATGATGGGTCGTGTGGCAGATAGAATCAAATCTGAGGCACCTGAAGGTGTATGAACCAGCTCCCTTGGCCCTGGCTCAGCAGAGTGATTGGCTAGAGCTCTCCCTAGGGTGTCGGGTTTCCTGGAAAGTGTGGCAACTTGAGTGCATTGCTGCTTTGCCAGTCTTTTGGAATCTCATGATCCCCTAGCTCTTGTGCTCAATAGGCAGCCTGGGCCCCTCTTGACCAGAGAGTGAGAAAGCCTCTGTATTATGCATGGTCACAGCTCTATTGACAACCAGTGTGACCCTGCTTCTTGTAGTCTTGTTGCTTGGGGTGCTCTTTAAAATTATCTGTGATGAATTATCAAGGGAAGCCCGAAAGGGAAAACTGCTAATTGTGTCTACCACCCAGACCTAAATTTCTGCCTCTGTTTCATTATTTAGTCTGAGAGACTTAGCCAGCCCCACAGCCTTCCAATAAGAGGGCATCATTGAGAAAAATGTGCAAGGCAGAGTGTGTGACTTACCATGTGAGTCATTGAAAATTTATGAGGTATTGTCATACCCAGTGTTTCATTTATGCTTTGTTCATGTGCTGTTTTTCCTGTTCTAACGATGATTATGTGTGGATTGTTTAATATCTGCTAGGGATTACGCTAAGTGTTCTGTGTGTATCCATTTGGTTTTCTCTACAAACTTAGGAGGTAGATGGTGTTACCCTCTTTCAGAGGAGAAACTGAAGCTCAGGGAGGTTCACTGGTATGCCTGAGCCCCACAGCTTGTTGGTGGCAGAACTAGCTTTTGCATATTGGTTTTCCTAACTCCGGAGATCTAAACTTACCTCCTGAATATATCAGTTGGGATAAATTTCTCAAAATGAAGTTGCTGGATCAATTTAAAATACTGATAGATCCTTCCAACTAGTTTCCTATGGGTGGCTCAGTGCCCATTGTGACATTTGCGATGCTCCTCCCCACAGTCCACCAACACACAGTCTTTTGCAATTTAGTTCTTAAGAAAGTATACCTTGAATTTGTCTTCAGTTATGAGTGGAGTGAGCATCTTTTCCTTCTTCAAAGCTGAATTCATTTTTCAGGTAAAATGTTAAGTAATAGATATGCAGTGTGACTACATTATGTAAGTTCAAAACAGAACTGTATTATTTAGGGTTGGACATACCCAGTAAAACTATAAAAGAAATAACAAGTTTGTGGTTTCTGGAAAATTCAATTGTGACCTGGGGTGATGGGGAAGGAATACACGTTTCTGGGAGCTAGTAGCATCTAAAAGACTCAGTGGTGGTGGTAGTTACAGTTAAGTTGGTGTTTGCTTTGTCTTTATTTGTGATACTTCTGTCTTACGAACTTTTCTTTGTTATGTTTCACAATTCAAAAAATGTTTTTAAATGAGCAAAAACTTTCCAATTGAGTTACTTTTATCTTCCATTTTTAAAAGAGCTGAATGGACATTTTAAAAAGAATTTATTTAAACATAACCAGACACAACAATAAGGAGATGGCCTCAAGCAGTAGTTTTTTTCTACTTTGTGGTCTAGACATCTTTGCTAAAAACTCACCAGTAGTAACAACATTACTGAGGGCTTACCTGCTTCACGTAGATTAACTGGGTCCTACAAAGGGACTATTATTCATTACCTTGTTAATTGAGGAAATGGAGACAAAAGAATGTTGAGGTCACTTATCCAGGCTCACACAGTAAGTGACTGAGCAGGGACTCCACCCAGCAGTCTGGCCAAGGAACACCTGCCCTTAACACCCTGCTGTGCTGGTTCCCCAGCCCAAGAGTTTCTAGCCTGGGTTCTGTGGCTTCCTGAGAGGTCCATGGCTGAGCCTCAAGGTTTGTAATCACCTTGATATTCCATGAATGTGCGTGTGCACATTTCCCTGCAGAGCAGTCCCACATATTCTCTGTTCTCCCATCCCAAAAAAGGCTGGGAACCCTAGCCCAGCCACCTTTATGCTTCTGTTTGTCCCCTAGAGACTGGCATCTCAGAAACCCACAATGCTTCAGAATCCACTCTAGCAGCAGGGATCTGACAGGCTTTCAAGGGAACAAGCCTCCCCCTCACCCCCACCAGAGCTTCCTTCCCTCAGAGCTCTCATAGAGCTTGTCATCTAGGATGTTCTTAAGGTGTTCATAGCCTTCCACGAAACAGTGTGGGTTATTACAGCCAAGAAGTGACTGTTTGAAATTTAATTTCTTGAAAACAAAATACAAAGTTCAAAACTATAAAAAGAATACGTTAAGCAGTCTTGAGCCCCTGCGCCTTATCCATCCCATTTCCTGCACACACGCAGACTCTATAGGTAACCCCTTTTTTTTTTTTTTTTTGATGGGAGGGAGTGACTTCTTTATTTAGATATGAGCAAAAAAGAATACCCCCCTCCTTTTACATTAAGACAGTGTGTGCTATGTAGATTGTTATGCATCTTTTTTCACTGAAGAGTATGTCCAATATATAGCCAACATTTATTGAACATTTATGTCCCGGACATTGTTCAAAGCATTTGACATATGAGCTACAGTAAGTCATTGAATCCTCTCACAGTGCTATGAAGAAGATCCTTTTATTATCCCCATTCTACAGATGAGGAATTTGGGACACAGAAAGGCCAGGTAACTTGTATAGAGTTGTGTAGCTAGTTAGTGGAATGCATCGTTCCTCCTCTAAGATTATAAATTGTTAGTACAGCACGGCCATGATTGTAATGGCCCCACCTCGGGGGTGGGGGGCGAGAGGGGGCGCAGTGCTTGGTGTTTGCTGAGTGGAGAGATGATCCATTGGTATTGTCTGGTAGCCATCTTTCTGCTAATGTAGGCATTTACTTTTCATATCTAGACCTTAGTCATCAGCTTACAAGAAGTTACATCTTAGATGCATATTTTCATTATGGCTTATCAAATCACTTATAGTTGGCAGCAAAGATGTTAAATGTCTGTGATTCGCTGACATATCTAGTTGTCACTGGAGGTTCCAGCCAGAATGAGATCAGAGAATGAATGACTAATAAATGTTATTTTCCAGATTACAGGTTTGCCTATAATAGGGCATGTTATTAAATTCAGTTCTATCTGTCTGACCTAAATATTGAGCAGCTGTTTGCTTTTAATCTACTAAAGAACTTTTCATGGCTTTAATGAAGAAGATTCTTTAACTGGAAAACATGAAAAGTTCAGAGTTAAGGAAATTCTAGAAAGGAAAATACTGTTTTATGCCATCTCACCATCTTGCTTTTAGAGGCCAGCCTAGTTCTGCTCAGTTCTAGAAATGGAGTCCCAAACAGGCCCCTGGTAAAGGGGTTGTGCTTAATGTAGGTCTTTAGGGACCCTCATCATCCTACCTTTGTTGGCCTGAACTCCGAACTGGACTAGAGCATCACTGAGGGAGGAGGTCTCTGAAGTAATGAATGTGGAAGGCAGGAGCAGGTGTTCTGGGTTCCTCACTCTTCTGTGATTGTTTTTACAGGGGGGAAAGGAAGTGGTATCTTTGATGAATCAACACCTGTGCACACTCGACAGCGTCTGAACCCACCTGGTGGGAAGACCAGTGACATTTTTGGGTCTCCAGTCACTGCCACTTTACCTTTGGCACATCCAAATAAACCCAAGGTATGGACCACATCTAGATAGCAGATATGAAAGTAAGAAAAGCAGACATTGAGCCAAGTTGTGATATGTTATTAGGAAGAGACAAGAGGGTGTCGTTGGTTTTCCTGGGTGCAGTCATTAGTCATTGAGTTTCAAAGCTCCCCTGAATCATTGGAGAAGTAGATTCCAAACTCATGACTGAGCCCTGGGGGAAGCTGGTCTGGGTGTGTCGGTAGCAAGCAGCGACTGCCTACTGCAGATAGGCTGCTGCTCTTTTCTGTGTGTCACCAAGGGGTAGTGGGTAGAGTTATAAAATTGGACATACAACAGAGGAGTTAACATCTCAAAAATTTCACTATTTTTAGTGGTCGTCAGTAAGTACAACTGCATTGGATTAAAATTCATGAAATACTTAGAATTCATGGATTCCTAATTATACTTTTTAAAAAATTGAATTTGTCACTTTGAGAATGTCAGGGAACCAACTCATTATGAAAACTGCTACTAAAGGATGGAGTCAAGCATTTAGCCAGCATTTCCTTTATAATAATAGTTGTTGAGGGAAAGATGCCTGTTATAAAAATACTCTAGCCTATAAATGAAGGAGTAACAATTCAAATATCATTTTGCAGACTCGTAATGAAATTGTGGGTCTAGGCAGTGATCATCAGTGGCTGCTAACAATGAGAGACAACCAAAACTATGGATCTCATGATAGAAGGCCATTGTGGACCACCTTTGAATTCTGAAACAGATCAAACCTCATATTATTCAACACCACAGGAATTCAATCAGAGTAATCCAAAATATAGGAAATTACATGGCAGTCAGTAGAGAGAGATTCTAATGATTAAAAAAAGACTCAATGCATTCCCTATCAAAGTCTCAACAATGCTTTTTTGAAAAGAAAGAAAGACTCATCTTAAAATTTATATGGAATCTCAGGGGAACCTGAATAGCCAAACATTCTTGAAGAACAAAGTTGGAGACTCACTCTTCCCGATTTCAGAATTTACTACAATAATCGAAACAGTGTGTGGCACTGTCATTAAGATAGATGTATAGACCGGTGGAAAAGAATTGAGAGCCAAGAAGTAAACTTTCAAATCTATGGTCAATTGATATGTCCACAAGAGTGCCAAGATTAATTCAGTGGGGGAAAGAGCAGTCTCTTCAACAGAAGAAATTGGATATGCACATGCAAAAAAATGAAGGTGGATTCTTACTTTTAATCATATATAAAAATTAAAAATGGATCAAAGACCTAAATGTAAGGGCTAAAACTATAAAATTCTTAAAAGAAAATATAAGAACAAATCTTCATGATCTTAAATTTGGCAGTGATTTCTTAAATATGACACCAAAAACACAGGCAACAAAATTTTAAATGAATAAATTAGAATTCATTGAAATTGAAAATTTGGGGACATCAAAAGACATTTGATGCAACATTATTTACAGTAGCCAAAATATGGATGTAACCTAAATGTCAATCGATAGACAAAGAAGTGGTATATATATACAATGGAATATTACTCGGCCTTACAAAATAATGAAATCTTGCCATTTGCGACAATATGGATGGACCTAGAAGGTATTATGCTAAGTGAAATAAGTCAGAGAAAGAAAAATATCATATGATTTCACTTATATATGGAATCTAAAAAATGAACAATCAAAACAAAAACAAACTCATAGATACAGAGAACAAATTTATAGTTGTCAGATGAGAGAGGGTTGGGGTGACGGGTGAAAAAAATGAAAAGGTTTAAGTACAAATTGCTAGTTATAAAAATAGTCATGGGGTGTAAAGTACAGCATAGAGAATAAATAATATTGTAATAATTACGTATGGTATCAGATTGGTAACAGACTTAGTGGAGTGATCACTTTGTAATGTATATAAATGTCTAATCACTATGTCGTACACTTGAAACTAATATATTGTGTGTCAGCTATAAAACTAATATATTTTATGTCAAAATAAAATTTTCAAAAAGATACTATCAACAGAACAAAAAGACAATAGAATATTTGCGAATCAGATATCTGATAAAGGTTTTCTATCCAGAATATATAAAGAATTGCAATCACCAAACAACAAAGACAACATGATTCAAAAAAGGACGAAGGACTTGAGTAGATATTTCTCCAAAGAAAATACATAGATGTTCACTCAGCACATGAAAAGATGCTTAACATCCTTAGTCATGAGGGAAATGCACATGAAAACCACTAGGATGGTTATTATCAAAAAGTGGAAAATAACAAATGTTGGTGAGGATATGGAGAAATCGAAACCCTCATACATTGCTGATGGGAATGTAAAATGGTACAGCCACTGTGGAAAGCAGTTTGGCAGTTTCCAATGCAACTATACAACCCAAATGTCCATCAACAGATGGACATAAAAAGGAATGACGTTTCTGATACATGCTACAACATGGATGAACCTTGTAAACATATCCTAATGTTCAAAAATTTGACTAGATGTTAGACATTTAAGGAATTGTTAATTTTTGCAGTTGTGAGAATATCGTTATGGTTATTTTTTTAAAGGACGTTTTTAAGAGCCACATCTTGAAATATGTATGGGTAAATATCTGGGGTTTGTTTTAAAATAATTCCGCAAGGGGGTAGAGGGACTGAGGTTGGGAGAACTGAAGAACTGTGTGGCTCAGACCAGGATGGCATGAGCTGATGCCATTGTAACTGTACAGTGGGTTATGGGGTGGGGCGGGGGTCACGGTACTATACTCTTCACTTTGTTTATGATTTAAATTGTCCATAACAAAACATTTTTAGAAGTTAAAAATGAACGCAAAGTCATCCATGCCTTGGTTTTCATCATCCATTTGAATCGGGGTAAAGAGTTTCTGAACCATGCATTGATCTGGGGTTTGCCTTGTTGCAGGACCACATGATGTTGGGTGAAGGAGAAGACCCAAAATCGAACCTTAAAGGTGAGCTTCTGTTTCTTGTCCCTTCCCCTGAGTGCTCTCACTCTGGAAGAGTTGCTGGTGTACCCCAGAGGAAGAGTTCCTGTGCCCTTTCCAGGCCAGCTGACGAAAACAAGGTCATGTTTATTGCCGAGAAGATTTCGTATTTGAAGAAAGCCAGGGAAATGGGCTCATTTATTTCTAAAGAAAGTTTTCCAACTGGTCATCAATGTTTTTCTTTTCTTCTTGTCATTGCTAATCAGCCAAGTCCTAAAACTAAGGTGTCCTCTTCTAGAAGCTGATCTTGTTTAGGGAAGGGCAGCGATCCAAATCTTTAATATACTTGTGACTAAGGGTAATGCTAGCAAAACTAATGCAAAGAAGGGCATAGGGAGAGCAGGACGAGAAGGGAGAATGTGAGGCTTGCATGTGGTGGGAAGAGCTGTTGCTTCCATAATCCATCACTTAGGGAGTGAGCTGCCCCAGTGGTGGGGCTAGATGTGACTCTGAGTCCCACCATGGTCCTCAAAGCTGACTATGGGAACTGATTTCTGCCTTTGGGTCACCATTTCCCTCAGTTACCAAAATACATGGGAATTTGTTTATTTAGAAAGTCAGAGAAATAGTGTCAGAAAACATTGCTTTACCTTGCTAGACCCTCCAGTTGAGACAGGCTCCCTCTCTTCCTTTTCATACTCACTTTGAGAAAGTTTGCTTTTTATACTTGAGGTGAAAGAAAGGGGAATGAGATCCAACAAGCAATAGAAAGCAGTAATGAACTTATTAAGGAATTTTTCAAGGGTTCCTTATAGTACTAAGCCCCAACTTTATGCAAGGTTCAAGAATGGCCTCTGCTAATCAGTGAGTCTTATTGGTGTAGTTGGAAGCCTTGCTCTGTGTTCCTGTCTTCTCTTTACAGTATGCATTTCTTGCTAGCTAGTCTATGTCGCAGACTTTTCATGTGCACAGCTTGCCCATCCAGGTAATGGGGAGCCTCTAACGGTTGGTTTGCTGACTTTGTACCACAGTTGCAGTGAGCACCTTGCCCAGAGAAGAGCCGAGTGAGAAAAGTGGCCTGAGACAAGCGGACCATGCCCAGGAGCCCCAGCCCACGCCCGTGGTTGACAGCCATGAACCCAGGTTGGGCCCACGGCCTCGATCTCACAACAAAGTTCTGAACCCACCTGGAGGCAAATCCAGCATCTCCTTCTACTAGAGAAGCCATTGCTCCCCCTGTAGCCATACAAGAAACTTGAGAAATAGGATTTCAAATATTATAGTTTCTTTTAGCCCAAAGGAGCGGGGGTGGGGAGAGGGTCCCTCATGTATCTGAAGCCGCTGCTCAGGCTCCATTGCCACCGTGAGAGTCACAGAGGACCTTTCCTTCCAGACTGATGAGAGACACATCTTTTGGGGATAAAATGTAATTTAGTAATTCTGGATGTGAGAGGAACTCTAAGACGGGCCAGGTGGGGAGCTGGTACAAGGCCACAGGAGGGCCTGATGAAGTGAGATCTTCCACGTCCTTGTTGCATCAGTGACCTGCCAGCCAACTGAGTATGCAGAAATCACTTAACACAGTAGCAGAGTTTAAAGCCTTTGAAATTAAGCCAGAAACAGCATGTGCATTAGGCATAAGCTGAAACACCAATGGGAGGGGGTTCTGTCTCTGGATAAATTCCCTCTGAGATCCTAATGCTGTTTACCCTTTGTGGATACCGTCTCAGTTCCTGGGACTACTGCTGCTAAACCCCAAGGCCTCCTTTTGTACTCAGCCCCAGTATATTCTGCAGTCTTTACTTGAAACATCTTGATTGCTTTTCCTTGGCAGCAGTCAACAGAACCCAAAAAGTTCTCTAGTCTTATGCTTTATGGAGAGATTTTGTACCCCGATCCTTTGAGGTGATCTGACAGGAATCTCTGCCTTTCACTTGTAGACCAGTTTTGCTTGTGAATTGTTCCTTTTTTCCTCTCGTCATCCTTAAGTATCTGTCTTTGCTCCTCGCCAATAATGTAGGTAGTTCCTCTATCTGCAAGGCCCACTGACTTCGGTAGGACTAAAACTCTATCCAGATACATTCAGGTAATGGGGTTATTTAAACCCTTCATTTGTCTTTTTTTCTGTTGACATTGAGAAGAGATGCTTGAGAACCTTGGCTTCTTAGGTTTGAATTCTTTAGTAATATGTAAAGAACTCTTCTAAAACACCAGCTTTACATAAGTGACTATTGACTGTTGTTTCTAACACCTTTCTTGAAAAGAGCCAGTTGCTCAAGTACACCAAAGAGGAAGAAAATGTTGCTTAGGCCACCCATGATAAAGCTTTGCAGAACCTCTGGACCGTATTCACGGTTTCCAGAAGAGGCTTGGAGACCTTAGGCCAGGAGATTAACTAGTTTGACAGCAAAGCCTCAACTGGCCAATTCCATTATATTTGCCAGCAAAGATAATATGTTGGCAAGAATCCTTTTGTTTTAATCTGTCAGGCAGAAATTTCTTGCATTCAGCCTCCTAAGGGCTACAGTCTCCATTCACTCATGCTGGACCAACAGCAGACAGAGGAAAAGGTTTATGTGATGGTGGCTGTAATGAGTGCCTACAGAGCTAACGCTAGGTGCTAGAAATGTTTTTATCGTTATTAAAATTGAGAAAAGCAACAACTGTTTTGTTATACTCACAGTGGCCAGCTGAGACACTAAGTGCCTGCAGGAGCTACCTGCCAAGCCCCACTTCTTAAAAATCAGCACATTGAGGGGATCTGCACGTGGCTTTGTCAACCAAAGAGTTTCCCTCCTTTCAGCTGCCCTGCTGACTTTGGAGCCAAGAAACACTCATTCCATGTAACTTTATCAAGTACTTACCGTCTCTGTCCTTCAAACGGTCATTCATAAGAAAGTTGTTTGGAATTCAGTTTTCTCCCATTAAAAAATGTCATAAATGGTGATTAGCTTTTAAGTCCAGACACACTAACTTGTTTACCTTACAATGAAATATTCTAATGGTGGAAACAACTGCCATTCATAACTATTTTGTTTTGTTTTTCAATATACAAGAGAATGATTGTGACTTCCAAATTTGGCTGCTAGGAAGAATTCTGACATTGAGATGCTGGCCCTTCTGGCTTCATCCCCACTCTATCAGCCGAATGAGAGAGAGTGCTCTCTAGTTCGTCCACAGGCAGGATTTCTCGGGTGGAGATGGAAACCAGAGATGCTAAGAGGGGCCTGAGGGAGAGGAAAACAGGAGGTATAGTAAGAGCCTCTGGGCAACAGTGACAACTCCCTGCCTTTTCTCCCACCTCTTTTTCCCCCTTTTCCTCCTTGGGGCTGTAGGAGTAGGTTTAGAGTGTCTGGGTCACCCGGAGAAGCAGATGATGAGTTTCTGCTCATGTGAGCCTGATAGGAATGGTCATCTGTATTTGGGAAATGCTCCATTCATTGGGACTGCCTGTATGTGGAAGATTTATTAACTCTTAGCATCCGTTGTCAACCTCTAAGCCACATTGAGAAATTACCAGTTTGTGTTTTTATTAAGCCTTAAAACTTTTTATGTGCATTTGGTGCCAACTTTTTTCTAGAGCTGTATCAAACAACAAGCCTGTCCTCACATCACAATGTTATTTTGATAAGAACATTTTGTTATTTTTACAAGGCAGAATTGGGTATAACAGTTGAATTAAACTTAGTAATCATGTACTCAGAGTCTGTCTTTGTTATATGTGTGCGTGTGCGTGCGTGTATGCGCATGCTTTCCTCAACATCCATTCTCTGAAGTGCCTGACCTCTGCTCCTTCCTTCCACTGAAGGTGTTCGCCTTTTTTTTTTTTTCATTTAGCCAGAGGATACCCAAAGTAATCTCAAAGGTTATGGACTTAGATTTTTTTTCATTTAAAAAAACAAAGACTTAGCTTTGAGTAGAATGAACAGGAATATGAGTGTTCTTTTCAATTTCTGTAAGTTAATGATTCTTTTTTCTCTTCCACCACTTATTTTCCTAAAGAACTGGAGATATTGATCTTGCCTCTGAGTCGGCTTTGAAACTCTCCAGTGACAAGCCCTGTAATGAGTAGATGAGATGCTGACCTATTAGAATTTGCCTATAGATTTAAGCTTTGTAGCAAAAGCACAAATTGAACATCTTGCCTTACATGTTAGCTATTTTCATATGTCCTATGAGCAAACAATATCTTTATGTGCCTGATGTGGGTGCGGGGTGATGAAATTTCTCAGACTGCGCATCTGGAGAGTTCCTTTACTGGACGCACCACATTATTCTGCCTGCTGGATCAGGGCCGACTACCAGGACACCACTTCGGAAAGAAACCGGACATGGGTTACCTGACGTCATCTTCATTTTTTCATCTGAAAATATGTTTCAGAGTGCAGAACATGTTACAAGAACTGGATTAGGCTCTGGCAGCATTACATTACCTATTTATAACAGCCACTCCAGACGCAGGTGAGCACTGAGGTCTTGGAGTGTCACAACCCTTTTGTCCCCAAGGTGAAGCAATGGCTAAGTCTGAAAAGACCAACATAGTTCTACCTATATTATGGTGAGGGGGTGAATAATATCAGAGTTGACATTTCAAGGCCTGTGCCTTGTACAGAAATACATTGGCTCTTTTGGTGGAGCATAACTTGTTCTATTTGTGAATCAGAACTTGCAAGGATATATATACCTCCTCTTGCGTTATCCAGTTCATTTCTTCTGAATTCATTATGTTCTTAATTCTTAGCATTCTTGGAGATCATGAATGAAATATTCCTGTTTTATGTGACTACAAAGTGCATCAAAAATTCAAGTTTAGGAAGAAAGGACATTACAGGGACCTATGTAACTTTTTAATAGGCATTAGGGGCAGATACTTAGAAATCAAAAAACTTTTGAAACCCGTGTGCCCATCTTAACATTTTAGTGTTTTGTAATGAGAAAAAAAAGTCGTATTCCAAATTATCTTTACAAATCTAAAAGGAAGCCTATTAAGTAAGTTCTAATTCAGTTAGGCTGAGCTCTCAGGAGCATCCTAGTTGTGTTCTTCAGTAAGCATCAAGAATTATCCAGCATATCTTGTTAAAACTTCGTTTTGTGTTAACTGATTTCAATGAACAAATCCGTCTGATGTTGGTAATAAAAAGTTGATGGCCAAGTCAGCTGACCTTTCATGGTAGTGGGGGCTGCCCTCCTGTATTCGCTACTTCAGGAATTCAGATGAGTCAAGTTTCTGAAAAAGGCCTAAGCAGAAGTCTTAAACATTCCCCAAAACGTTCACAAGCTTTCCCTGTAATTTGCTCACCAGGAAAAAAAAAATTCATCTGTCCCAGCTCATTTTGAGTATATTTAACAAATTCTACATAACATTTATTGCATGCTTACTATTTGCTAGAGATGGAGCTAAGCCCCTTTTGCTTACTTTATGACACTCCTAGTAGGTGGATAATATTTTTAGTTTCAGTTTATCTTTTAGTGGGTGAGTGAGCATCCATACAGCAAATTAGGCTGCAAGGGGGCTGTGTGTGTGACAGCGTTTAAGGCAACACCTGTGGGAAAGTTCATCGATTTGGTGCAATCGGATTAGGATAAGGGGGTCCCATCATCAGTTAAGATGAAGTGACCTAGAAGCATTTTGTTAGGTGAAAGGCAGGGGTTAGAGCATTTCTGTTAACATCCAGCTGTCACTAATTTTTTTTTTTTTTTTAAATTAGAATTCACACTACCGGTGACCCCTGAGCTGAAAGTGCTAGTCTTGGGTTCTTGGTGTCTTCATGCCTGTGAAAGAAAACCCTCTGGAGCAACTCATTTTAAATTCAGGCCTCAAAAGTATTTCCACAGATCAGTTCCAAGGAATACTATCTCAGAAAGGAAGGGAGGAGCAGCCTGAGCAAAAGTCAGCCAAAACAGACTGCAGAATCAGACCAGTGAAGGCTGCAGATATTTTAATGAGTTTGTCTTAAAAAACTGAGATTTAAAATAAGCAGCTGAAAGTGGACGAAATGAGAACCTACCCAAACTAGTACAAGAAAATCAAATGAGACAAATAGAAATTTAAAATATAACCACTTAAATTTAAAACTCAATGAACCGAAAGTGGGAAATCTGAAGATGTTACACAAAATGCAGGATATCGAAGTGGACTAAGTGAAAGAACTTGTTACTGGATTTAAGGATGAAATGGGCAACTTGCACTTAACTGGAATTCCAGGAGAGAGTGGACGATAGAGAGGCACTATTTGAAGAGCAGATCTGAATGCTTACTGTGTGGGAGTGTGAGCTACTGTGTAGTAAAACTATGATGATAAATTAAAGAACACTTAAACAAATCAGCACTAGGCACCTCTGGAGGGGAGGGGAGGCGCACGGGTGCTCGTGTAAGTCTGTGAACCGTACACAGTCATCTATACATGATTTTGAACATATCCTACGTCACTTTTAAAAAGTCTGGGTCGGTGTCTGGGAGCTGGCGGAAACTCGCTAAAGGTGACAAACCCTGACCGGAAGCGCTCCTTGCCTGGCTCCGCGGAGCTTGAGTCTCAGACACCAGCTTCCTCGTACGTCACGGCCCCTGCGACCCCTAGCGGCGCCTCAAGGCTGCGGCGAAACGGGCGGGCACCACCCCCTCGGCTCCACGGGTGGGACTTCCGGGTGGCGGGACTTCCGGCCGCTGAGTGACGGGCGCAGCATCAGCACCAGCAGCTACGGCAGCAGCCGAACCCTGAGGCGACAGCGGCTGCGGTTGCAGCGGAGGCGACGGGCCGCGGCCTGCGGACTACGGGCAGCCGGGGCAGGCGCGCCGGCAGACAGTGGGCCGCGCTGGCGGCAGCGGTGGCCGCAATGATGGAGATCCAGATGGACGAGGGCGGCGGCGTGGTGGTGTATCAGGACGACTACTGCTCTGGCTCGGTGATGTCGGAGCGGGTGTCGGGCCTGGCGGGTTCCATCTACCGCGAGTTCGAGCGCCTCATCCACTGTTACGACGAGGAGGTGGTCAAGGAGCTCATGCCGCTCGTGGTCAACGTGCTGGAGAACCTGGACTCGGTGCTCAGCGAGAACCAGGAGCACGAGGTGGAGCTGGAGCTGCTGCGCGAGGACAACGAGCAGCTGCTCACTCAGTACGAGCGCGAGAAGGCTCTGCGCAAGCAGGCCGAGGAGGTGCGTGGGCCGGCCGCGCCGGGGACCCGCCCGGGCACCGCTTTTTTTTCGCGCCCGGTCCGGGGACCCCACCACCGCCCCGCCCTCGGCCCCCGGGGACCCCGCCCCTCCCAGCACGGTCCCCAAGGCCCCGAAACCCTTAGCCCGGCCCAGGGGGTGAACCCTGGCTCCCTCTTCTTATTCGCTTGCTGCTCCAGTCCAGAGCCCCTGAGCCTGGAGCCCCAAACCACCTGGCGTCACCAGGGGCGCTTGAAGCCTAAACAGCCCCTAGCCTCGGGCCAGGCCTCGATCTCCCCTCCAGACGCCAGTTCTTTTTGCTTTTGTGTGTTTTTCACAAACCAATTTCCTAAACCTCAATTACTGCCTCTGGTTACTACTATTCTAAACCCTTACAGAAAAGGGATTTCTGATCTTATAGTTTTACAGCCAGGAGAGATCTATTGTCAGAAGACCTTTTCCTTGTCCCTTATCCAATGTTTTGAAGGTCTGTGACATGGGTCAGCTTGATAATTGATGTAAACTCATAACTAAAGTCACAGGCTGCTCCTCTGGCACCAGGTGAAAGTCTCCAGGTTTCTGGAGGTGATTTCTTTGCTCTGTGGTTCCCTCAGTTGGGAATATCGTTAGCTTATGTGGAAAAGGCTGAGAAATTCCGGTCTTACTTTCTGAGGAGCGAGAAGTAGAATTTTGAAATATTTGTGTTCTAGGATATCTCCATAACCTGGAAATCACTTATTTGCGAACCAGTTAGAAGAATCGTGCATTGTAGGGAATAGCACTTAACTTCATTCACCGTCAAATATTTAGCACTATGTGCCAGACCCAAGCGGATTCAGGGGACGTGGGTTCCCATCCTTGCTTTGCCTCTGTGACCTTGTCCACGTGTTGTGCCCTCTCTGCATTTTGATTTTCCATCAGTCAAATGAGTCATTTGCCCTAGATGATCTCTAAGCTCTGACATTCTGTTATTCCAGGCATTAGGTGATGCTCTTTGATTTATGAATAGGTGGTTTCTTATTAAATGAACTAAATTCCTTTTCAATTAATTTGGCTGAACACATTCTTAACTTTAGCATTGAAATAGAAAATTGTTTCAGTATTTTGCCTTTTTCTTGACCCAGAGTGGTTTGTGCCCTAGTTTGGTTTAAAGCATGTTTATAAAAATTAATAGTGCATTTTATTATTCCGACTTAGAGTGATTTATTTTGCTTTGGGGTTTCATGTTTTAGAAGCTGTTGTCTATTGATTCGGGTGCCAAGCTCCACCAAAACTGATTTAAAACTCTCAAGGTGATGCAAAAGCTCATAGGATTTTAGAGTTCAGAGTGGCTCTAGGCATTTACTAGGAAAGGAACTGGCTTCCTGAAGGGGAGAGGGATCAACCAAGGTCACATGCTCTAGAAGAGCCCCACCAGGACCCAGTCTCCCCTGACTCTTGGGCTCTTCCTCTTGTGTCATGGTGCTGTGGGAGGTTAGAGAGCTGCATCCCCAGAGGACTGGAGGGCTGGGGCTCCCCTCGTCCACTCCATGGAATTATGGCTGCTCCCTAGTGCTGGTAGCACCCACCACTTCTCTGACCACTATTAGCCATTTGATGCCTAACTAACTGAGGTTTCAAGTAGGTTTTTTTCCTCTCATCTGTACCTATGTGATCAACATAGTGGATGAGAAGGAACTAAAAGGATGGACAACCTTAAGGCTAAGAATCATAACCTTCTAGCTTAAGAATTAGCTGTGCATGGATTAGGTCTCTGCTCTGCTCTGTGCTGTTGAAGTATACTTCTGGCCTCCTACCCACTCTCCCCTGGACTAAGAGCTAGGGCAGGGATGTGTGTGGTTTGGAGGAGACTGCCTTTGAGGCCGAGCCTCACCATTGCCCCATTAGGAGAAGCCGTACAGTTTCCTGAGCAGAGAACCATGAAGCAAACAGATGCTTGGCTAGCCGGCATCGAGGCTATGATTAGATGTCCCCCCTTGGAAAGACCTCAAGTGATGTTACAACTAAAGAAAAGGGCGAAGTCCTGTAATGATTTTGACATTCTAGCTAATTCACGAAACCCAGCAGACATTCATTTTCAGTTTTGGGGAAAGGACCACTGTGCACTGTGGATCGGCCTCATTTTCTAGACAGGAATTGAGATATGTATCTGACGACACAAGAGCTGGCACGTCACAGGCTATAGGCATGTTCATGTTGCAGAGTAGCTCCTGCGTCCTGGCCACTCTGCTCAAGAAGGCTTAGTCAGAGCTGGGTAACTTGAGCTGCCTGCAGGCTTCTGAGCAAACAGAATCTGCAGATTTTTTTTAAAGACGTGAGCAGAGCAAACAACCCTATCCTCTACTTCTTTCATGTAATAACTATAGTGAGATATTGCAAGTACGTTCTGGTCCAGGAGTGGCTCTTTGATCCTGGGATGGCTCATTTGATAGGAGTTATGGTAGCTAGACATAGTGGGATCCAGGGAGAGGGCCCAAGCCCTGGAGTCCGCAGACGCAGACTTGAGTGCCAGCCCTGCCCTTAGGAGCCACATGCCTGGCAACCAGTCTTTCCCTTTCTGTTCTCAGTGGCTGCCTCTGTAAAGAGAGTGGGTTGCCAGACATGGCAAGTCACTTTCATCTTAAGTGCCAAGTCCCATCATTGACTATTATTTTCTGGAGAATTGCAGCGAGGCAGAGGTAGCGAAGTCAAGGAGGAGCACCTTGATGGATTTGCGGGGCAGCCTTAGTTGGCAAGCACTGTGCATCTCAGTCTCTGATTATGCAGGTTTTACCCTTGTAATCGAGATGAGTGAGTCCCACTCAAGCTTGCCGCACTAATGGGATCTATTGCTGGCTTCTATAATTTCTACAGAGGCCTTAACAATGCTGAAAGGTTTTAAAATCCACCAAGTTCTTTCCCATTAGAAAAGAAGGTTGGAAATGGGCAGTTGACTGAAAGCGAATAGAAATAGTGTTTGAGAGACACGGTGTGAATTTAGTAACCATTTTAAGATTTGCCTTAAAATCTTCTTTACCCTGAAGAAACTACTAGCAACGCCCCCCAACTCATCACAAGCAAGTGGATGTGCTGTTGAGGAGACATGTATGTGGCTATTTGCTTATACTGTGATATTTGGTGCTATGTAAGGAAAACATCCAACTGGAGGAGAGTTTGACCCAAAACTAACCCATTTCATAGAATAGCATTTGGATGGGATTAAGCTGTAATCCCGCTCTATAGAGATCATCATTTTGCCTTTTTTTTCACAAGCAAATTAGTACATTGAATCAAGTTTTTCTTCTTATTTTCCATATTACAAATAGTAAATTCACCAGTGCTTGGACAAGGTATGTGATTTCTTCTGCAATGCTGTAATCTTAAGAAGAGTTTTTAAAAATCATTTGTTTTAAATAAAGCTGTTAAGATTTAGTGGCCTGAGCTGCCTTTCCTGGTTGCCTCCAAATGTTGGTTTATGTAGGTATCCCAGAGTCACCAAAAGTACAACAAAATCTCCCCCCAAAAATGGAAAAAAAAATAGGTGTAGAAGAGTAAAGAGAGACACTTCCCAGCCAGAGTGATCATGTAGGGAAGATGCCAGCTTTGGTCTGGAGGCCTCTAGCCCGCAGCCTTGCTGCTCGGCTCTGTCCTGTGGTAGGAGCCCTCTGGGGTCTGTGGTGGCAGTTGGACAGTGGGGTCAAGGACTGGTACACATTCTTCCAAAACTAGGATTTCTAAATTTAATATATTGGGTTTTATTTTAAGTTTTTAAAAACTTTCTGGTTTTATGCAATTTATAGAAAGGTTGCAAAAATCATACTTCCCACTCACATTTCCAAATGTGAACATTTTCCCACATTATTCATTCTTCATCCCTCCCTTTTGCTCTGCTAAGACCTCAGGAGTTTCATATGGTCCTGTCGTCTCTTCTGTTCTGGAACGGTTCCTTGCTTTTCGTGACCTTGACGATAGCGACATCACGGGCCAGTTATTTTGTAGAATAGCCCTCATGTGACCACATACTCAGATTCAGGACTTGGCAGGAAGCCTCCAGAGGTGATGTTGAGCGAGTCTTGGAGTCTCTTAAATCGTTACTGTGTACAAGATAGGTGTTGGGGAAGGGACACACAAGTGTGAGCTAGTGTGTCCCCTTTCTCAAGTTCCCGTTTTATTATGAGGGTGGGAGGATGACCCCTTAAAGCCTGAAAAGGTAACTACAACAGATAAAACCAGGAGCCATCTCGAGGTGATTTCCCAGGCGTTTGTTTCCTGCGCTCTGTTAAAAGTCGGGGCCCTGGGATCAGCCTCATCATCTCCCATTTCCAGTCACTAAGTCCTGGCCATTCTTTTGGCCTGGTTCTTGTTTTCATATGCCTTCTTTTCTTCATTGCCACCACCCTGGTTCTAGTTGCCGCTATCAAACGGGTCTCCCCAGCCACCCTCTCCCCTCTTCCAGCCCTTCTCCAGCCAGAGTGAACTTTTATGGAGGCAGATCACACACCCCTCGCCTCTCTCATCCATTTACTCATTCAACAAAACATTCTGAGTTCCAGGCTTGGCTGCGGGGTGTGCAGATTTAGGTCCCTGCTGTCCTGGGGCCGGCACTCAGGTGGGGAGGTGTTGGGATGCTGCCATATATCCAGGAAGTATTAAAATGAGGGCATGAGATATAGAGTGAAAGGTAGGGACAGGGACTACTTTGACTAGACAGGGAAAGGGACTCTTTAAGGAGGGGACCCCTTCCGCTCAAACCCCTCTGGAGCCCGGCCTTGCCCCGCCTCCCTCTGTGCCTGTCCCATTTCTATCCACTCTGTCTGCACACTGTTCCCACTGCCTAGACCACTGGCCAGTTCCTTTGCATGTCTGGCACAGCAACCACATGGAGCACATTCGGATGAATGCATAAGTGCATGATGAGAATGAATGGTCCCCGTCACTGCAGTCTGCCCACCCCGGACTTCCCACACTGCCCCAACCCCCTCATTGTGCCTTGCACCCCCACATCTCCACAGCTGCTTCCTGCT